CCAACATCGGTTGTGCTTTTTGTGTGGACACAGATTGGTGGACGAGCGCAAAACGATGATATTATTGCTTTTAATGCCCTCAACGAAGCGTATAAGTTTCCATCAGGATCGCTCATGTTCGTTATCAGTAATATACCACCCAAACGTTCATCAACCATCATCATGCATCCTTGCAACGCAAACATGCTGATATTATTCTAGAATCCGATCAGCTCAAGAAAATGCAAGAACTACTCAAGGAACAACAATGGGAGGCTGAAAAAGCACGGGAAGCTTTTCGAAATCAGATCCAGAAAATGACGAAAGAAAACCGGATTGCGAAGGAACAGGAGGAGAAGCAATTTCATTTAATGCAAGCCGAACTCGAAGGTGTAAGAATGAATGCTGAAAAAGAGCGAGCAGTAAGTTTATTAGTGCAAGCAGGATTAATTTCATTAAGGTATTGCATGATTTTAGGCTCAAGCGGAGGAGCGACGAAAGTTGGGAAAACAACAGCGAGAACAATATATGCAACAGCTGGCAGTAAGTTTATTACTGTAAGCACGATTGATTTCATTAAGTTATTGTGCGATTTTAGGCTGAAGCCGAGGAGCGACAACAAAAAGGGGATATTTCTGTTCGTCTTGCTACTGATGTTGTTGCTGCTCCTGTTTCTACTGTTGTTGGTGCTGCTCGTGGTACTGTTACTGGTGTTAAAACTATTGTTGATCCTTTAAGTGAATTTATTGACGATTCTGATAATAATGCTATTCTTCGTGTTGCAGCTGTTCCTGTTGCTGTTGTTGGTGGTGCCGTTGGCGGTGCTGTTGGAGCTGGAGCTGGTACTGTTGAGGGTACTGTTACTGGTATCGATCGCATTTTTGATGGTCTGTTCGGAAAATGATGTCATGGATTGGGTACTCATTGAAAATGTTTGTGACTTGAACATTACTGTCGTTTTTGGTTTAATTGACTATCACTACGCTTTTTTAATAATTTCGAAATAAATGGTTTAAACGTGATAAAGTTATCTTACCTTTTTCTTCGGAAATTGTGTAAAGATTGAATTATAAGTAAAGAGTGTTGTTTGTGATCTTACGAGCATCTGAATACATTCTACTATACAATTTACAGCCGTCTGATGAGTCCCTTAAGCAAGGACGAAACCGGTCATGGATCTGCTTCTAGTTAGTGTAGAAGATATTTCTTTGCATATTGTTCGTATGAATGATATGTGACAGAATAATCCTTGTGATTTTTTTGATCATGAAGGATGTTAAAACCATCTGACGAGATCCGTTGCAGGATCGAAACCGGTCATGGTAGTTATACTCACCCTCCCTCACTCTCACCCGATTTAGTGTACTTGTCTAAGTCAACTGATGAGTCCCTTGAGAAAGGACTAAATCGCGATCTTGGTTTCTCGTCTCACCACTGTAGAAACTTTATCTGACATTGCGGAATCGTTTCGATCTTGCAATTGTTCAGATGACTAGAACTCTGAATCCTCTTGTTTATGATCGTCATTTATTCCGATCATTCGAACCGTCATACCGATGATTTAGTTGTTCCATCTTTCCATGAGAAGGAGAAGAGGTAGAGATGACCCTCTCTCTGTCGTTGGATTGTTTTAGATGGAATCTATGATCGAACGAATGAAAGCTACAATACGAGCGAACAATTTCTCACGTTTATCCGTTATCATTGCAACCAGAAATGGATCAATATGACGGTGAGCAAGGAGCATTGATCGAATTCTTCTGTTATCTGAACTTCTTCGATCGATTGTAGGATGAAGAATTGGAGAAATGCCGTCATCATCTCCATCACATCGAAAATATGATGGCAAATCTTCGTGAATATGCCAACGAACGGAACGATCCATCGTTCAACAATGAATTGAACGAATTAGAGGAGAAGATCAAGGCGTACAAGCAACGCATGGACACATGAACACACTCTTTGTTTGGTTTTGTTTTTTTCTCATTTAATCTTGCTCGTGTCTCATCGATCTGCATGCATCGAATCTTGAACTAGTCCAATCTAGCTATCGTTTAGATTATCATCATCGTTCAGCAATGGCAAGTGAAGCAATGGATGTACAACAACAACCACCACAATGTCAACTGCCCGATATCAATGAATTGTTATCCGATCTGATGGATCAATTTGGTGCCAGCGACGAAGACCGTGATGATGGTTACCTGCCTGATCTGGATATTCTGCTTCATCTTCGACGTCAACAAGAAGATGCGCACGACGAGGATCGAGAATTGATTAGCGATCATTACTGTTCTCGCTGTTATTTTTCCAGTTTTTGATGTTTCTCGCTGTTTAAGTAGGATTGTCCAAAATTCCTGAAAAGCGGACCAAAAATGAATTGCGAAAACTTTGCGCTCAAAAGTCCAAAACGTGGACGATGTGGAAATAAGCGGACAAGTTGACAGACCTAACCTTAAACTAAATACTAGCTTGTAGTGTAGCTTTTTAGTAGGTGTAGGTTTTTAATTTTTTAAATAAAAACGGTTAACAAACATGATAGATCTATGATGGCGCTGTTGAATACCATAGAATAGTGACATACAGTAGCGCCATCAAGGGCTTTCTCATTAAGGACTAATTTTCCGAGAAATTTGATCAATTCAAACAGAATATTTCATTATTTCGGCTGATAATTAAAATTTTCATGCAATGAATCTGAGTCCCACACATTAAAAAAGAGACAGCACTTATCTGCCGTCGATTGTATGAGTCATCAATTGTCAGGCCACACAATATAATATTAAGATGTGCTAGGATTGACTGAAAGCTAAACCTGTCGCCAGTATCATCGTGAGTGTACGTCGATTGTGGCAACTGAGGCTTAACATTCAGTTCGAACGTATCTTGACCGTTTTATGATCAAGATTGACTTAATTCATAAACTAAGTAACCACTTTTTTGGTCGAGATATTCAACAACTAAAATTTCTACATGAAGCAAGCAAAATTGTTGATTCAAAGAACTGAAAGTGCAATAGCCAAAGTAAAAATTGTTATGCTCCACAGTCACGGTGTGATTAGTAGCATATTGGCAACTCGCTGATCCCTTCGCCCTCTAATTAAGTGATCAAGATATTTTTTGTGCGATTCACAAGTGTATTTTTTTCACCAAAAAAACCCTTTTCTGTGTCGTTTGCATCTAAACAATTACTCGGTCAATAAAAAAGAGTTATCTTGAAGAACTCAGTGGCTGAGTATCATCGGAATATTTGTTGACATTAGGCTCGACCGGCTTTTTTTTAGAGTCAGGTCAAGGGGAATGTTTGTTAGAATCAGGTGTAAACAGAAAATTATTTACTAGTTATGAAGCCGAGGTTTATTAGAAAGTCATGCTTAGTCTTCGTCATGACCAAGTTTCCGAAAAAAAGTAGATCTGAATCTGGAAGACATTTAACTCAGTATTTATTCAGACAAATTCTTAATCAAAACTGATTTTATAGACGTGTTTGATCTCAAAAAATTGTCATCACGCCTAATTTTGAAAAATTCAATGAGTTCACCTCTTTCTTTTTGTTCTCTTCATTTATTTAAACTTGTTTTCCTTCTTTTCTTTTCTTGAATAAATAAAGCTTATAATAATCCTTTAAAAAATTCTCATGCTTAAACTTAAAGCTTTCGATTCAGTGATGGATGATTCTTTTTTTTATGTATCAAACTCTATTAGATGAAGTTAAAAGACTCGATCATTTTTCGCTATCTGGAGCATTCGATTTACAAAAAAAACAGACTCGAGTCAGAGTTATGACTAGCATCAGTCAGTGCTACTCACCAAACTTATTGTCAAAACGCTAGCTCGCGATTGTGTATGATTTGGTGGTTTCTTCACGTCCTTTGCGAACTAAAGAAGCATCAACGCAAAGATTTGATAGGATATTAGGATAACTGAATTGACAAAACACGTATCTCATTGTAGATAATGGTTGCTTTAGCGAAAAACACTAGTGAAGAAAAGCTAAACATATGTCGCAAATATTATCTTGGTATGTTTTCCTGAATCACGATTACATTCAAAAGCGTATTGATCTCCATTTTAGGCGGATTTGCACTGCTGCCGTTACTTTGGATAATTAATGCCATATGGTTTTATAAAGAAGCATTTCGAGTTGAACCCTACGAGCAGCAACCTCAAATTCGAACATGTAAGGCAACAATAATTTTTAGGCTGATTAACTATAACTTTTGTATTGCAAATGTCCATGTACATTTCATCAGATTTATTACGGAGAATGATATTTGTTCTGAATTAAATGACAATGTATTTTGTCTTTCTGTATCGATATATTCGTGAGAGGACGTGATGAATTTTAGCCTCCGTAAACTCAGGAACATTACCACAAGGTCAAGTAATCTCTCGTGTTTTCTACTGTTTATTTCGAAACTCGAATTAATTTACTGCAAAATCAATTAGTACAAAAAAAAACTAAGTTTTTATTAAAGCTCATCATTATGAGGTTCCCACATCTCAGAGAACTTTTGTCTACATTGTATAATCGAATAAAACGAAACATGTGGGATTCTAACACCTCCGCTGGATAGATATGATGTCAGTTTTGTTAATTATAATCAATATTTCACTTTTTGACAAGATTGTTCTCTGATACAGAAAATATCTTCTGATCATTTTACTCTACAATTGTCTGCTGTAGATGTAATACGAAGTGCAATTGGAGCTGCAATATGGGTGGTTATAATCGCTGTATGGAACATTATTTTTCAAGTTTATCGCACACGAATGGGTGCAGCTGGTGACTACCTTACATTTGTCGCACCTAGAGGTTACTATTGAACATAATATCGGATTGTATTAATAGCGTTATTTATATACATCTAGCTTTCTGTGATTTTTCATTATATCTGCAAACTTTGTAACTAGCGACAAAAATAGTTTATCAAAATCAATGGTTAGATATTTTGTTACTTCCATTTCACATTAAATATTTTTTGTTTTTTGTATTGCAAATGTCCATGTATATTTCATCAGATTTATTATGGAGAATGATATTTGTTCTAAATTAAATGACCATGTATTTTGTCTTTCTGTATCGATATCTCCGTGAAAAGACGTAGTGAATTTTACCCTCTATAAACTCATGGGTATTACCGTGAGGACAAGTACTCTCTCTTGCTTTTTAGTGTTTATTCCGAAATTCGAAGCAATTTACTACAAAACTAGCTATCACTGCTGCTTTACTCTCATTTAGAAACATTTATTCCCATTTTCGAAAGGGCGGGGGTCGATAAGACGCAAAATCGGCCGCTCTCAGATCAAGCTCATATTCACAAAGTCTGATGTAGTTTTTCTCCGTGAAAAACTAGCACCTCAAAAGAACCATTTTAACCGCCCCGGAAAAAATTCCACATCCAAACTTTTCTCCCCTTAAATGAACTTTATTTAGAGTATTTTCCCCATTTCTTCCCTTTGCCCAAAGCAAACCTCAACTACTGTATATCATTCGATACAGAACTTTACGGGCTACAAAATGATATATATAACATTGAGAACAAATGAGGCCTTGGTGCCCTAACACTAGAAATACTGCCCCCGACCTCCACAAATCGATAGGTCAACAGCGTTCATCACCACTTATAGAACTTTTTGATCCCTATCTACTATGAAAGTTTGAACGAAATCGGGTGAAGTATTCAGGAGTTACAGAGGATACAATATTCAAAATGTCATTCTACAAAGTGATCTTAAAGTTTCTTTGAGAAGCCTTTCAACCATAACATTAGATAGCCCCTTCAATTTTTCGTAAAATAAGACGCTGGTCAACTTTTTATGATGTTGTACCACACTATGGCATTGGAAATACGATACAGTTCGAAAACGGCATTAACGCGGCTAAATTTTTATTTATAATGTTAAAAAGCCTGTAACTCGGTTGTCTACGATCGTAGAAACCTAGCCAGCATCTTATTTTATGGAGAATTGAAGGGGCTATCTAATGTTATGGTTGAAAGGCTTCTCAAAGAAACTTTAAGATCACTAGGTTTTCTAGAAAACCGGGTTTTTTAATCATCTCTACCTCAAGACTGCGACTTGTAGCATAACTTTTCTCCGTCGAAATACATAGAACTCAATGCGCTCTTTCATTTGACACCAACCTCAAGGTTCTAAGTTAGGGAATGTCGTCAGCAGACGTTCTACAAGTTAGGCTATATCCGCCGGAAAATTATGAAAATGCATTTTTCTGTTGCGACGGTGAAATGGCTATAGCTTCTTTTCTAACAAGGCTGGAGACTTGCGGTTTTCACCATTCGGTTCAGCTTGCTGAACTCTATAATATAAGATGAGTCTCGTCACTGACGTAAATGGCCAATGTTAGTGGTAAACGGTTTTATATGGACTTAGCCTATCTATCGATGCCGAAAACATCCTCTCCAGTAGTATTTCTAGTGTTAGGACACCAAGGCCCCATTTGTTCTCAATATTATATATATTAATTTGTAGCCCCTGAAATTCTCTACCAAATGGTATATAAAGTTTTTTTTTGCATAAACATTTTCTCATACTTGGAACTCAATAAACAGATTATAGGTATTTTCGTCGTAGTACGATGTTACGAAAGAACCGCGATCACGAAATTCAGTAAAAACGCATTGAAAATTCCAGAAAAATGAAGCATCAGTAAAAGACAACTTCTTTTAGAATGTAGTCAAATGTGACCTCTTTCTGGTATAATAATAGCCTTCTTGTTATCTACAAAATAAAAAACGAAAAAGAACAAAATCAGCTAAGATGAATAGAGAATTTTAGTAGCCACTGCAGCTATGATGATTGACTACAAAGTTAGATTCTAAATCTACCACGGCTATAAGAATTTTTCAATTCAAAACTGTTGAAGTTCTCTCTAAGCTTTCTGATGTGGCCTTTGAGCAAGAAAAAAGAAATAGGGTGTAAATATTTCACTTTCACCTCCACGAATAAGTCCTTGAGCAGCTTTTTCTAGCACTCCAAGTGTATCTAAAGATCCCTTTGCTGCAAAACCACTTTTCTCCATCAGCCAAACAGAGTTCTTTGTCAGCCATCTACCAATATTCGAGCTGCGAAATCCATTTATTGATAAAATACTTTCCCCTTTTAACGGTAAATACCATAGTACTTCGCTTTTTAGTATATCTGCTTCTTCTATCATAAATCCAACTGATCGTAAATCAGACACAAGTTCTTTCATTGTGCGCAGCTCGGGCAAAGCATTGCCTTCTTCAATAAGCTTTTTTGTTTCAATATGTTGTGGATTTTGTTGATCAAAAGAATCTGTTAAACACCAATCATAGCCAATAAAATATCCTCCAGGTTTTAGAATACGAAATACTTCGGAAAAACATTTCGCCTAAAAAAAATGAAATATCTTTAAACAAGTTAACAACTGATATTGTCGTCAATGTTACTAACACTCAAAAGTTTTTAGTAATGTAGATTCTGACTTACTTTATCTGGAGCATGACATACAGCTTCTATAACATACGTATGATCAAAAGTACTATCCTCAAAAGGTATTTTCATAAAATCGCCTTGAACAAATGAACAATTAGCCGGAATGCCTTAAATATAATAGTTGACAGAAACTAAATATATAAACATACTGATGTATACTTACCTATTGCTTTTGCTCGTTGAATTTGATAATTACTGATGGTTAAACCTGTTATATGCCCACCGGAAAGATTCGCAATTCTCCTCAACGGACCTCCAATACCACACCCAATATCTAGGACTTTTTGTCCCGCTTTTAAATTTAATCGTAATGCAAGATAAGATTCATGACGTTGTATACTTTCTTGTAATGTCTCGCCTTTAAATCGATTAGCAAAATGAAAACTTCGTCCCCATCCATATTCATAAAAATCAGTAGCTAAACTATAATAATCAACCACTAAGTCTGTGTAATTATCTTTGCGTTTGGTAGTTGTTTCTTTTCCATCCGTATCATAAAAGGATTTATATTCGTTCACTTGTTTTAGTACTTCTTCATTTGAGCGCTTAGTTATTGACTTCTCCATGTCAGAAATTGTAAATCTAGATTTACTTGTACATAAAACAGGTTCTGCACGATTCAAGGATAGACTTTACAAACAGTTGACTTTAAAAAAATGCTAAAAAATGGAAAAAGAAGCTTTTCTTCTCTGCAATTCTTGTTTATACACAAATGCATACTTAAAAGAAAATAGTTCACTACTCATACAAGCCACGAAGGTGAAAGGTAAGCATGTGAATGACTATTGACACTATTCTTTACTATTATATGCAACATAAAAGACAAATTTGGTTTTGACTTTACGAATCAGTTGATTATTTACATTTGAATTTAAACAAATAATACTTTTTAAAAAAACACAGAATAGTCATTTTTGCAATGTGAAATAAAACGGAACATAAAATACTAGTATAACAATCATAATCTTAAACATGGACACGATCAAAATTTAACGTATATAGGAATAACTTGTTTCATATTCTTGTGGAACTTCTGTCCAGACATTTCGAAGGAAGAAAGGACCGAAATTTTACAGCTGACAGTCATGGATTTTTGCCGGTTACTTTACTCAGCACCCTAAACTAGAAAATCCTCGGTGATTTTCTAGAAAGTGGAAATTTGCCCAGGAATTTCTAGACCAAATACTTATTCATCTTTTTGTTTAGCAATCAGTGTAGGTATAAGAGCGTCACGTAAAGACACTCATATTACACTTAAATCAACTTTGGCAGTTTCTACTTTAGATCACAATTCTGCCTATGCCAGCAAGAATTTTGATTTAGGTAGAGACAGTGGTGGCACGAAGTTTTGGTAGGAAGGTCCGGTCGGTGCAGACCCGCCAAGGAATTTCCAGTTTATAGAAAATCAAAAAGGAATTCCTACTTTCTTGAAAATTATTTATGGAAAATCAAGGAGGATTTTCTAGATCCTTGAAAATTATTTATGAATGGAAATTCGATTTTCTGTAAACTGGAAAATCCTCGGGGAATTTCCGTATGTAGTCTTTGAAAATCGCCGAGCATTTTCCATAAATAATTTCCAACCTTACAGTGTACATGTCTTTTCGACCGACGTTCTTAGTTGAAATAATTCTGAGTAGTTATAAAATACTGAACATGCCTTTACTCTTTGCTTCTTTCTCTCTAATCGCTTAGGTAACTCAACATTATATATAGTATAATATACTATGTATAATGTTGAGTTACCTCTTTAAAAGAGGTAACTCTTTTAATAAGCAGTGAAGCTATTCAGTGCGAAACCTAGAAATTCGATCCTCAGTTTCTACGGCAGAGCTCGGTGAGTACGAAAACTTCTTCGAAACGTTGTAAGTTTTTTGTTTTCTAACATTAAACACAGCACTGCGTAATCATGAAACTTCGTACAACAATTTGATGATATTATTTATTGATGATATACAATTTGATATATATCCACGTATAATGTAAAGTTTAAGATATAAAGAACCTACACTAAATAATTGTGGTAGCGACGTGAAGCGCGAGCTAAATGAAGTGTACTACAGAGTTTTTATTCAAAGAATATGTCCCAAGCCACTTTCAAATTGTTTCGTAACAACAGAATTTAGTGCATGAATTCAGCTAGGTTTAATCTAGGGTAGTGTTTTTCTACGGCCTACAAAACCTATTAGTTCATTTTTTTCGCGAGAGAATATAAAGAATATTTTCAAACCGCTTTTCGGAAATCCATGAATTTTTGCAGCTTTCGGCTAAAGGTAAGTTGTCGATATTTTGATGATTTCACGGTGGATCTGACCGAAAATTTTAATAGATTTTCGTAATTTCCTTAACTCGTGGTGTCATCAAAAAATCTGAGACTAAAGTGGATTTTGAAACGAATTTCTTGAAGTAGAGTTTTTGCTGTTCTGATATTTTCACTTAAAAATTAAATATTGTCTTGTAAATTTTCATATAACATCATTAGAACATCTCAGATTTTGTGGTAAATGCATAATTTACACAATTTCCGAAAAAACAGTCAAGTTCTTCTACAGTGAGTAGTGAGTGAACTTTCGTAACGACATTAAACATAGGATAAATCGTAGACTTTCGGTCATTTTCGATGCTCTACACAATGCGCGTAGTTAGTCCATTCGACTTCTGAATTAGATGATACTGAACGAAGCTGCGCAGAACCTCCCAACTGCTAGCTGAAACTGGAATTTGGCTTTACTGAGATGAATTCGAAATGTGAGCACACACAACGAGAATCGGTGGCAATATTGCGGGCAATCATTGAATTCATCCTCCATTGTCCACCACCAGCTGCAGAAAAGGAAGAAAAATCACTTACAGAATAAAGTTAGCGCTACAACTGTTTGTCAAATTTTATGTTAAAGAGAGAAGCTGTCTATAATAGAATTCTACACGGGTTGGTGAGCCTGAAAGAAATCCTTAAATATTAACTATCAAGTTAAAATTTCGTATCGCAACCTTTTGCAACTTCTTTCCCTATGACTAAAAGTACATACCAGGGGAAGTGAGACAATATTAAGGAGTATAAAAAAACTACCTCGTGAATCCATTTCATATACTTTGTTTCTGTGTTACGCATCGAGGTGCAGAATGTCTCATTCGAAGAACGACATTTCCCTCTACGAATGCACAGCAACAGAAAATTTTAGCTTAAAAACTCTCAAAATTGTTACTTTCTCACCTGAAAGCTTCATAGAGCATTCTAATGCACCATTCTCATGGAAGCCTACGACATCTATATTGTAGTGGTGTCTTCCAAGATACACACGCAGAAAGCTGTCAGTGACAATGACTCATCCGACCGCACAGCACAAGAAAGAATGATTCATCACTTCCATTCAACTTGGCGTTATAACCACATAACACTGTTTAGCCACGTTCACACTCACGTCTCATCTCATTTGAATTTGATTTCTTGCAAACTTGATTGGTGTTTCCTTTTTGAAAATTGTTGCATAGTTTAGTCAAACAGAATTGCAAGAAACCAACTTGATCGTGAGGTATAAAAAATGAGATGCGAATGTGAACGTAGCTTTTACAGACGGCCTAGACTGAAAATTGAATTCTGTTCACAAATGACAAATAAATACAAACGAGCCGGAATGAAAATATTAAATACTCTCGGTAGAGTTACAGTAGGCGTAAAATTCACGCATAAGCTACAAACAAAAAAAAAATTATAGGTAGAGGACCTTTGATGACTCACTTTCCGTGAACAAAACATCTTACTCCTAAATGAACGTAATTTGTTGTTTGTAGCTTGAATAGCCATTAATGTGGTAGAAATATTATTTTATTTATTTCTCTATAACATATTTTTATGCTGTAGAGAAATAAATAAAATAATATTTCTACCACATTAATGGCTATTCAAGCTACAAACAACAAATTACGTTCATTTATTTCAAAGTTCTGTCAATGTCTTATATTACTATCTTAGTCTTTAATTTCAAATTTTGCGTTGGTTGTTGTGTTATTGAACGTCTTACATCTATGATAACTAGAATATTCTTTTATTTTTTTCTAGCTAGCTGTGAATACAATTAAACATACACATACAAACAACATTCCTTGTGTACTTATATCTTCTCTAATGATTGAAATTAATTGACGAAAAATATATCAATGCCTGAAGAGCTTCAATTGAGAAATCCATACATTATAAAAGATGTTTGGAATGACAATTTGGAAGCCGTATTTAAAGACATCATCAAGCTTGTTCCAAAATATCCATTTGTGGCAATGGTAAGTTAAAGGTGAGAGGGGGAATGCTGTTTAAAAGTTTAAACGATGGTGTATTATTTAGGATACCGAGTTTCCTGGTGTTGTTGTTCGTCCTCTAGGTGAATTTAAAACACAAGGCGAATTTCAGTATCAATATTTGAAGTTGAATGTCAACTTTTTGAAAATAATTCAACTTGGTTTAACGTTTATGAATGAAAAAGGAGAAAGCCCATCCGATGTTAGTACATATCAATTCAATTTTCAATTTAACTTGACGTATGTACAATGAAAAACAAATTCGCCGAGGCTTCACTGAATATTTGAAGATATTTTGATATCTGTGTTTCTTCCATTTTAGTTCGGATATGTATGCTCAAGAGTCGATCGATTTACTACAAAAATCTGGTATACAATTCAAACGAATGGAACATGATGGCATTGATCCACAACAATTTGCTGAATTATTAACAACATCGGGAATTGTATTGATGGATAATATTGTTTGGTTATCGTTTCATGCAGGCTACGATTTTGGTTATCTAATTAAAATGTTAACCGGAAAACTGTTACCAGAAACAGATGCAAATTTTTTTGAACTATTAAAAATGTTCTTTCCAAATATTTATGATGTTAAATATTTGATGAAAAGTTGTAAAAATTTAAAAGGTGGTCTAGAAGAAGTGGCCAAACAACTTGAAGTAATTTTGTTTTGAAATTCTTTTTGTTATAAATTGGATACAGTTTATTGAAAACGTTTCTCTCATTAGAGTCTTATTAGATTTGACTTTAAACATTAGAAACATCAGCATTTTCTAAATGAAACAATAATAGTACTATGGATTTTTAAAAACAATGAGTTTATGGTGTGCAAGCATAAGTTTAAGTTACTTTTTTAAGTGTTACTTTCTTTCCGTTTAGATTGAACGTATTGGACCTCAACATCAAGCTGGTAGTGATAGTTTAATGACTGGTTTAGCATTTTTCAAAATGAAAGAGGTATGTTTTTTATGCTAGGTTTCCATCTTAATAGCGTTACTGATTATTTTTTAATGTTTATTTAGATGTTTTTTGAAGATACTATTGATGAAAATAAATATTGTGGTCATCTGCATGGTCTAGGACCGACTGCTTTTGCTTATGATAGCAGTGTGATGGAAACAATTGAGACAGAATATAGTCCATAATAAGGCGTTACAGTTACTTTTCTTCGCCTTTATTTTTTCTTAAAAAAGAAAACAATCATTTGCTATTTATACAAATAAATTTTCATTTATCTTTATTTTTTCGGCAAAATTCAAAAAAACAAAAACTAAACGAGTTTCTTGTGGGAATAGATTTAAGAGAGATGTCACAGTTACCGTAACCGGGTAGAATTAGTAATTCAAAAATCACTTTTAAGTTGCTTTTTACGTTATTTTTGCAACCTGAAAATGATTTAAAAGTAATTTTTGAGTTACCAATTCTATTCGAGGATGGTAACTGTGACATCTCTTTCTTCTTAATATGTATGTTTTCATTAGAAATTCATTTTCCTCTCATTTTGTCGGAAAAATAATTGTGAATATTTATTTACTATTCACTTGTTTACTTGAATAAATAGTAAATGATTATTTACCAGAGGGTTGAAGTGATATCACTAGTCCATAGATGTTCATCATCATTAATGATCAAAAAATTAGATGCGCAGGCTCGCTGTTTGTTTTTTTAACTTCTGTCTGTCTATTTTGTGTGTTGTATTCTACATGTTGTTGATTTTTTTTTCTTTCTTTCTTTTTTATGTTTTAAAAATAGTTGTCGTATGTGTTGTTCGTGTTCGTATTGGCTATCATTTCTTTTAAACTCGTAATAAACGTGTATTCCATTGTTGTAATAAAAAACGCACAAAGCACAATGATGATGCTTAGAAAAGTCACAACTATGGGAAACAGTATTCTATAGTGGATAATGAACGATCTTTATTTTTATTAGACGCGAATTTAAAAGAGTCGATAAAAATGCCAAAATAGAATCCGTTTATATAAACTTGTATTAGAACTGCAATAAGGAGTCCGGATTTTTTAAATAACATTTTTATTTTTTCTATTTTCTATTTTACTGCAGAAAAGAGTCTGGAAAAACATTATCACTACTTTAAGGATGCTTGTATCCTCCTCTTCAAAACTCGATGTGTACAATCAAAATTGTTTTCTGAATACACAAAAATAACAATTTATAAGCAGAAAGTGTCTGTCTATTATGTGATCCTGATGAAAATATCAATCTAATAATTATCTAGCTTTTAATCGAAACGTATATAATGGATATTTTTTTTTTACTCTGAACATTTATGTTGCAGATAAGCCACCTCATACTTATACGTAGTGTGTTATACTTCCTATAAAAAAAACCGTAACTATCTTTCTATACAGAAAACTAGCGTGAGAATGAATTTTAGAAACGGAACGAAATAATTAATAGTTCAATAGAATACATAAAGAACAAGGTTGAAGAACAATATACACAACAAAACAACATAAAATGTATTGAAATTTAGTATATGTCTAAGTCACCTTGACGGTAGTAAAATGTCTAAAATATAAAGAGAACAATTAGCAGGACAATAACTAGCAAACGATAATAATACTTACTAGACAAAGTTGTGAAACAATAAATAAAACAAAGGTACCACCGCACAACGATCTGTGTATAATTGAAAAATGAGAGGACTGGCGGATACTAACCTCAAATATGTGTCATAGTTTTTTTGATGAAGAATATCTTCTTTACGTTCTTTCCTGTATTCACTTTCCACTAGTAATAATAGCACAAAAATGTCTAACCTACTGTTTATCTGCGTGCTACCACTACGGATGAGGATTCGATGATGATACACTTAATGAGAGAATTAAATAAGCAGTTCTTCTATACAAGAAATTTTAAAAAAGAAAGATTAGTGTGAGCGTTGAAACAACCAGTCACCGTCTTTATGTGATTCGGTTAAAAATATATCCTGTACTCCATTATCCATAACTGTCTGATAACCATAAAGGGTGTTCTAGAAGTTCTGAAGTAATTTTAAAATGCATCATTCTAAAATTACTTCAGAACTTCTAGAACACCCTTTATATGTAATCGATTAAATTATATAGTGAGCGTTGAAAATGTGATACGTGATTGAAAAGATAAATTTTTTTTGAAACAGTCAAAAATCCCATCAAAAATCAATCTTTGAGCGCATTTTGTGGGAATTGGTTTCGGTTCGATTGTTTGTTTGTTTTAAAGAGAATTTGACGTGAGAGCATCTCGGAGATAGAATTTATCAAAAAGAATTATTGTAATCAATTGTTGATTTATTCGGACGGGATCATCTTGAAAACTTCAGAAAGATAAGTGTAACTTTATAAACAGTGAAGAGCAATTGTCAATGGCTACTGGTAAGAGCTGACATAAATCCGATAGAAAGAGTGTTTGACCAAATCTCAAAAACCCTTGAAATCCTTAATGAAACTATTCAAAAGTAATTGAAACATCTTCCACTCGAGCTAGCGTCCAATCCAGTTAATAGTGTAATGAAACGAGTAACGTAACTAGTCTGGTACAACAAAAAGATGAGTACTCGATGTACTAAAGACGTGGGTTTCTGTTTTCTTTCTTTTCAACAGGAACTTATAGTTTTGCACCAATACAAACTACGATATGGACCATCATTCGACTTAGAGGTTTTTATTGAACTATAAAGAGATGGCTTCTAAAAACGTGCGTGCTTAAAGCATCAATATTTCTCTGTAAAAGAGAGAGAACGTTTTTTGCGACAAATCGGTCCTCACCCTTCATTCTGATTATCTGTAATGCTGATGATAGCTGATTGTTTTCTACTATGAATTTTGGTTCCCACTCGTCCACAACCACGGAGAATGTCTCTTAAGGTCATGAAAACATACTCTTCCTTATGTTGTGTTTTTCTCCAGTTATGGAACGTTTGCTAATATTAATCGATAGCGCTGCGCAATGTCTGCAAAACTATTATTTTTAAAATACTTTTCGACTACCAATGTACGACGTAATATCCATAATGAAGTTTAGATGCAGATATCTAAACTTGAACAGTGTGAGATTTAGTATTTTCTATATACTTCTTGAATTTCTTAGAGTAATTTCGGATAACCTTCAGACCAGATGTTTAAGCAATCTTGCTGGATCTGGTGACTCAACAACCTGGTAAAACTGAGTTTTACGAAACTAGAATTTTCAGGCTATTTTCACCTAATATTAGAAAATTCAACATTCACTCAAAGTAAAAGTCAAAGATAAAAAAAGAAATTTTATTCGTTAAACAGGATGTGATGACAGGATCGAAAAAATTGAAAGACGATTTTTGTTCGATCAAGTGCTTTACAGAAGCCCTTTCGGAAAATAAAAATGTTTTTGTAAAACTTGCTTTTCAACTGCACCTCCATCTATATGTAAATTTTTTTAGTAAAGTTCAATGAATGATAAGTGGAAAGACATATAATAATAAATTGAATATACAAATCTTTTTTGTGTTACACGTCATTGTACTTCAAGACTTAACATATTTCTTTGTACAAGAGATTAAACTTTCACAGAGCATCTTGTTTCATCACTATTTTCGATAACTTACATTTCAACACATAAACGTTTTGTACAAATAAGTGACAGATCATGTTCGATACTGAAGTGCTACATTTAGTAAACAGTCTAATTATTGAGAATTGCGTCATTATGTGTATGCCATTGTCATGCATATTATTAGCTTTCAAGAACTCACACGTACATTTCTATTGTAAATTATAGATAATGTAATAAGTTCTACTGAGATGTACTGCGTTTGACTTACTAGTCGAAAAAACTGATAGAAAAGCCAGTTGTTTTCTTATTCAAAGCTGACCTTCTCTCAAGCAAAGTAATACAAAATTAAATGCTCAATGGAAGTAATCACTGATCGAACTTGAAACTAACCTTTAGAAGAAAACTGTGCCAGACTACCACACTAATACCGTTTCACCTGTGCTATCTACTAAAATATTGTTACCAAGAAAATCTCACAGTTAAAACAGATCAAAATTTTGGTCAATTCTTAGACAATACAAAAATTTTGGAGTTTATGAAGTTACTTGTACCTTACATCAGATCCAAAGAATTCATATAGATCCAATAAATTCGATTATCTTTCAAGTATTTGCAAGAAAGACAGGATGATGAACGGGTTTTATTCAAGTAAAATTACGCGCCATGGTAACTTGAATAAGTTCTACGTTAAGTTTGCAAAATCTGATCAACTCCATTTGTCGCTGAATGAAACATTTCACTCTGTCTCTTTTTTCTTTGAACCTACTACATACCATTTGATCATATAATAATAAAATATTCTTTATATGATCAATGAGAAAGCTGGGAATTTATCAATTTTAAACAATAATCTCATAATATATTCAGTCTACATTAACGTAATTGATCACAGTAAACTGTTAATTGGTAATAAATCATCAAATTACACTCTTTTCTTTTTTTTCCACATGTAACTATATAAAGTCACTTCATTATTTAATCGTAGGTCATTTAAATAAATATTATTTGAAACATTTGTTCACCTTGTCATATGGTAGAAGAGAAAGTATGTATACTTGGATATAACTGATTTCGTATACACTGTAATCTTGAATTAATTTTAGTTTATAGAAAATTGACCGAAAAATCGCCGAAGATTTTCTGGTTTTCAGAAATTCCTCGACGAATTTCCAGCTTTCTAGGAAATGTTGATTTTGTAGATTATAGAAAATCGACTTAAATTTCCATAAATTTAATTTTCTATAAAGGTGAAGAATCGCTGAGGATTTTCTATAAACTGGAAAATCACCGTCGGTTTTCTAGTTTATAGAAAATCAATCGAATTTCTATAAATAATTTCCAAGAATCTGGAAATTCGATTCTGATTTTCTATAAACTAGAAAATCGTCGGCGATTTTCTAGAAAGTGGAGATTCGCTCAGGAATTTCTAGACCAAATACTTATTCATCTTTTTGTAGGGAAGATATCGGGCTTATCGAACCTGCTTCGGCAGCACCCTACATCGCAAGGTAGCCGCAAGGCGGAGTATTCTTCTTCTTCCTGAAAATCGGATATGTTTACCAGAAATTTCACAAAAGTATGAGCTGGGTCAACCCCCATACAATCTGTCGCGCCGGCACTCGTTGCAGACCCGCCAAGGAATTTCCAGTTTATAGAAAATCAAAAAGGAATTTCTACTTTCTTGAAAATTATTTATGGAAATTCAACCGTGATTTTCTAACAAACTTGAAAATCAAGAAGGAATTTCCAGATTCTTGGAAATTATTAATGGAAAATCAAGGACGATTTTCTAGATTGTTGGAAATTCGATTTTCTATAAATTGGCAAATCCTTGGGGAATTCCCATGGGTACTCTTTGAAATTCGCCGAGCATTTTCCATAAATAATTTCCGACCTTACAGTATACTACTTCAGCTATTTTTCATCAATGAAATTTTTACTTATGAGTCATTTCATTATAGTCTTATTTCGAACAACATACTCTTTACTTCACAATATATAGTACAGTTCCTTCGATCAGTCTTCATGGCTTTTCAGAAAGTTAGAACCGTAGTTAGTGATTGTATATAGAGACCTGAATCAATTGCGCAAAGAATTTCTTCTGGTCGAAGCTGCAATTGATGACTAGTAACGATGTGGGTGATCATGCAAAAAGTGGTCAGGTGCAGGAAAGATATCGGGCTATAGAAGCTGACACTTATCAGCATCCTGCACCGTCAACGGTAGCCACAAGGCGGGTTATTCTGCTTCTTCTTTAGGTTTTTTACTTAACAATTAGTTTAATTTATGTTCGTCTGTTCAATTTTAGAATCAATTAATAAAACAGTCAACAATGAATCAAAAATCTTTTATATTGTATGCTCAACGCTTTACATCTACTCCAAAACAATGTTTTAATAAGCAACAAGCACCGCCGTTAACATCGACTCCAATTAGAAAGTGTGAAAAAACAAGAAAATCAACTCATCCTTATCGATCTAGAAAATTATCAAAACGAATTGACCTAGCTCGTCTGTTACATTTAAATATTCCTGAACATATTCGTATTAAGCAGCAGAGACAACGAAAAAAATACTATTCAACAAAAATTAAAATATGGATTGTATAATCGATAGTTGTCTGATATTTCGAAGTTTTCAACAGTGATCAAGAAAAGAAATAATATTTATATCAATTTGTACAGTTGTTTATTCGTTTTTTTATTATAACAAAAATTAAACTTCCGAGAAAAATCTAAATTCAAAGTCTGTATGTTTAAAAAATTGAGGATTATATGTAATTAGATACAAATTCTTAAGCTTGTGTGTGAAACTTGGACATAATATAGTTGTCTAGGTTTTTTAAAAGAGCCGGGATGTAAATTGTAATCGTGAAATAAATGTCGTTCACTCAAAACTGTCCACTATTAGAGAAAAGAAGTTCATGTACGCTCCAAAAGTGTTAGTGAGGCAGAATTCCACGTCTGCATATCCACAGAATCTGCTGATAAGCTTCTTTCTCTGTTGGATTTATTAGAAATAGCATCAGAACCATAACAGAATTGTTCTATTTTGTATCATTAAAAATAAAACGCTACGTGCCACATGCAGAATTATTGAACAGTTAAAAACGCTCGAAACTATTTTACATCTAAACTTTTAATCGATGGTATTGTAAAGACTACTAGCAGATTCGTAAAAATATTCAAAGATCATATCCAGTTATCATTATGCGCTAGCAAGGCATTGCGGTGTTTCGGTAAAATGCAAATTTAAATTAAGAAGGTTTTATTGAATTTATCGAGAAGAATAGAGAACAACAAGGCGATGCGCAAAACCCTCTTTTTTCTACAAAAACTATTGTCCTTTGCCTGATTTTTTGTTACTTTGCTCGCTTATTAAAGGTTTATTAGACGCATTGACAATAACGAAAAATTGTTATGTAACGTATTCGTTCTTATCTCAGTTACGTTTATCTCATTTTTTTGTAGAAAAGTGAAGTTTGCTCTCTCTTTTGCAGTTAAAAGCAAGAAAACAACGTTTTCCTTATGATAAATTCAACAGCAGAGTATTGCACGATACTCAACTAGAGTTAGATATCAGGTTCGACTGTAATATATACAATGACAAAAATAATCGAGACTGAGATTCCTGAACAAATTGTTCTTGAAGGTAACATTCGATTTCCGTTGGTGATCAATCCGAGCAACGAGATTCACAACCTAGATGACACACTGAAATTTATTGCTGATCACCGTGATGAACTATTAAAACGTTTACTACAACATGGTGCTGTATTATTTCGTCATTTTCCAATTGATAATCCTTCTGACTTCAATCAGTTTGCGTTAGAATTTGGCTGGAAAGATTTACCATATATTGGTGGAGCAGCTCCACGTAGTAGAGTTGTCGGTGTTGTATTTACAACTAATGAATCACCACCATCTAAACCGATACCATTTCATCATGAGATGGCTCAAGTACCAAAATTTCCATCACATTTATTTTTCTATTGTGATATACCATCAAGTCGAGGTGGTGCAACACCTATTTGTTATTCACCATTAATTTACGAAACAATTCGTCAAGAACGACCAGAATTTGTCGCAAAACTTGAGGAGAAATGTATTCGCTATACAAGAATATTACCGGATGGAGATGATAATTCGTCGGCGATTGGGAGAGGATGGCAATCAACCTATTTAACGGAAGATCCTAAAAGAGCAGAAGAACTTTGTAAAGAACAAGGCACAGATTGTGAGTGTACTGTAGTAATTAATGTTAATTCTATGAGGACAATAAACGTTATTTTTCTGTAGATGAATGGCTTGAAAATGGATGTTTGAAAACGGTGACAAAAGTATTACCAGCTATTCGTTTAGATGAAAGAACTGGTATGTATAGTTAGGTAAAAGTCAAAAATTGTATTTATTATATATCGTTATAGGAAAACATTCGTGGTTTAACTCGATTGTTGCTGCGTATAAGGGCTGGAGAGATAGCCGTAATGATCCTAAAAAAGCCGTAACATATGGAGATGGCACAGAGATTGAAGAAGAATATATTGAATTTTGTGAAACATTGATGCAAAAATTGTGTGTGTCATTCAAATGGGAAAAGGGTGATGTTCTTTTAATTGATAACAAACAAGTATTACATTCCAGAGAAGCATTTGAACCACCAAGAAAAATATTAGCAGCCCTGTTTCAATAATATATACACCATCGATATACTGATCTATAAAACTTATAGTATGTCAAATCATCCTTTGGATAGTAGCTTGTGATGCAAAGTATTTTTCATTAGTCGCGCAACTATTTAATGCTATTCTTTTTTCCCAAAGTATTGAAATCTTCATAAATTGCTAGTTTTAGTCTTTTTTTCTCTCTCCATGTGTATATTTCGCGTCTGTCTGCCCAAAAAAGGCTTGCCACGAGAAAATCCTTGCACGATCTTTGAGCTGGTTAAAAGGAGAAGCATATCTTAGTTAAGAATTATATCACATCAAACGAGAAGTATATGAACACTAATTTGTCGATATTCACAGAAAGCACTTTCCTATTATGTTTCGATTGCAATAGTATAAAACAGGGTACGTAATATTCAAGTTCAGTTAGCTTAAAGCACATGATAAAACATGTATAGTCCTCGGCAGAGGTGCAACCGGTATCGGTATATCGGTATCGATACAAATTATAACACCGATCGGTATACCGGCATTAGTATGAAGTATAATCAGTCGGCTGATATTGCTGGTATTTTGCGATATGGTATGATTTTTTTCGAAAAACATCGTGTAAATTCAATTCATCTGTGATATATTTCTTCCACTAAAATTTCATTCCAATTACTTAAGTTTTGTCAGCTTATATAAACTTCTTAATTTATAAGATTGAATTGGATTGCTGTTTTCGTAAAAATAGTGTGTGAAAAACCAGCTATCAACCAGCAGTCAAAGTGAAAAGATTAATCTATCCCTTTAATAACATAAAATAAAGTTCACAGTAAAGAAACACAAGGAAAAAGTATTTGTATTTAGCCAAATATGATCAGGACAAACCGGTACCGGTACGAAGTTTGTATACCGCTGACAGATACTGGTATCGCATTTTTGACACCGGTTATAGCCCTGGCCCTCGGCTAGCCGATGATTGATCGTCGCAAGTCGTTTTTCGGCACTGCGACTAGCTATATTTAAAGTCACAAGCGTTTTAGCCATCCATTTACCCGTTATTTCCTGCATGGGTACACAATATCAAAACACGTAAAATATTTGGATATTGACATTAAAAACAACAATGGAATTTTAGAAATAAGTGTCTACCATAAACCATCGCATGGACCATACTTTTTAACGTATTCATCAAGCCATCCATTTCATCTAAAAGAAAATATTTCACACATTTCGTTTATATATTCATAAACATTATCAATCTTCAAGAAAAAACAATCTGTATTGATATTTCATTATTGTTAAACGGATACTAATTAAAATTTACTAAACAATAATATAACAAAATTTTATCAACATATGATAGTAATCGAATAGATAGTAATAATTTTAATATAATTCAACATCAACTTTTTCAAAATACAAGAAAAATACCATATTTAACAATAAAGAAAGACTTGTTTTCGTTTTTCATATATTAACAATATGCATAAGAAAGTAACAATAGCAATAATTTTTCTTTGCATGTATCATAACTAGCAAATCTAACAAGCTAGTGACACTTTTTTGTATATATTCTTAAAAACGAACTTTTAAAGCTTGAAACGTTGAAATATTTGATTTTTAATTATTTAATTTCAATTGGCACAAAGAATACAGATAATATACAAAAATGATTATTAATACTAAACCATCATTAGCCAATCTGGTGTAAACATATTATTCATAACCAATTGCATTTCATTATACTACTCGGATTGAATGGACTTTATGTCGATTCACATTTTTTAGATTATTGTCATTATTATTGTACAATTGGTATTCCTAACTATTATGCTATATTGACATTTTTCGTATTTATTTCCACTTGTTGTTATATATTATCATTACAAAAATTAGTTGAAATCGATGACATATTAGTGATTTCTATAGCCTTTTCTCATCGAAAGACGGGTTATTCTACTGTGTCATGTTTCAGGGTACTTTAATTATTATTTTCTATTTCAGTAATTATCAATAGTCTGGCAAGTTATTCAACATATTTTAATATTTAAGCAATAGAAATCAATATGAAATCAACTTTTTAAAAAAAAGCAGACTATTTACATACCCAACAAACACAGACGATTTAGTACAGGATAATGCTACATGCACCTAGGGTAGCTAACCATTTAATCATTGTACTGATTGCAGAAAAATGAATTCCTTCTAGCCACAACCAGATGATTCTGTGCCAGGATAAGCTCAAGTCTTGTGAGTATTAACTCACACGTCGAACAGTAGTGAGTTTCGATGACTCACACTGCGGCTTGTCTAGCTAACAGTCTCCTTTATTCGCTCTTTTTCAAAAAACTATGGCAATAAAGTTAGAAAATATATGACGCCGTTAAATACTCCGTTAAATACTGACACTTTTGACCGTTTTTTGTCACGGCGTCATGGTTTTCTGGTTTTTCTTTGATTAATACAGATTAATTAGAATAGTTTCGAACTTGACAAGCTATCACATCTTGTAGAGCAAACAATTTTCTACAAACTGGTATACTTGTTCAATTTTTGCAAGCTCGTCTTCACTCTTTTAGACACGCCTTTTAGGTAGCCTCAACATCGATTTTTGGAGCTGTTTGTACAACAGCTGTATTTTCATAACGAATCAACGTTCAGAGCCGAGACATTTTCATTTTATAGATTATTTTCTAACTTTATTGTCATAGTTCTTTGAAAAAGAGCGAATAAAGGAGACTGTTAGCTGGACATGCCGAACTGGTCGGTGCAAAAATTTCGGTCTGAAAGAACTTTTCATTTTCTACAGTAGACTCGTGCTTAAACTCAAGTTACTGCAAAACACGTCGATGATTTTGTTTCACATATAGAAAACGAAAAGAAAATATGGACAGAACCAAAAGGTAAGAATCCTACAAAATCCTGCACACAATCTTATCGTAAGATCTTGTAAGAAACAAGATGTAGGGGTCCATACGATCCTACCATGAAATCTTATTACCAGTAGGATCCTGGTAGAATTGTTTGATCTAGGTATCCATGTGTTCATTCTTTTTCTTTCTTCACTATGCTGCGTGAACCAGGCATGGGCGAGTCCGAGTCCGAATTGGAAGATTTTTTGGCGGACCCGGACTTGGGCTCGGACTGGAGATTTTTTTAAAGGACTCGGACTCGGACTTGAGTTTTTGTATTTCGAGTCCGATCTATTCAACTTTCAACACAAATGAAGAGAGAAAAATGAAAAGTGAAATAATAACACCTTTTGTTTCACAAGAAATTGAAAATTTTGTTCAGGAGATAGACATGCAAAATAATCTTATTTTCGACAAATCAAATATCTATCCAGGGCTCAGTAAATTATAAAAGAGGAATAAACCACACCCATCAAAGAAAGAATCTAAAAAATTACCGGACTCGAAATGGACTCGGGACTTGGACTCGGTCCTNGCTTGACTTCTTAAGGACTCGGACTTGGCTCGGACTCGCCCATGCCTGGCGTGAACAGATGAATACTTACCGTGAATTTGCTAGCTATATCCTTTATAACGGAAAATGAGGTTAGAACGAACGCTATATTTTACTACTAAAATGAGTACATATGGCTGAATTTGAAAGTGCGTTCTGGTATGTCTTGATAGTTGTTTAATTAAGGTCAGCACCACAGGCCACCGAGACTTCCGATTTATCAGAAAAAGGTTGTGAACTAAACTAATACAAGATGAATTGAACACAAAACGATGAATTGTTTTTATTCTTTTTTGCTTGCTTCAATTACTTGTCATAATCT